ATCCAATTAATCATCAGCTATTTGTCAACCCATTCTTCTATAAGTCTCAAAATGCAAAATTTGAATATGAATTTGATACCTATTTTTGCTTTCCACATAACAAATACATAATCTTGTTATGAAGATTCAGTAGTGCTCATTTAAGGCAAGGCTGCTTCTGAAATTCTATATAAATAGATTTTTAAATACAAGCTTATAAGGAAGGCTGAGATTAGAGCAATTTGCAAAAGGCAGTCATTTAATTCACTTTTTATTACGAAATATTTGAGACATACAAATAGCTTAAAGAGCTTGTTTACTCTGTTGTAAACTTTTGTGGCTTCTAAGATAAAAATCTGGACTAGTAAAAAAGACTTTGTTTCTAGATAGAACAGCAAAGTTGCAAATTAAGGGTTTTGCATAATTTTCTTTCTTTCTGTATAGTGTATAAGACTAGCATTTCTATGGTTTACAGATAAACCAGATCTCCCTTACCGAAAAGAGAGATGTTGTCCCCATCCTAATTTAAAACAAAAACCAACTAAGATCTAATAGGAAAAGATGCATACATGAAGACTGCTAATGGAAAACTTTTATTTTTAATTTTATTTTTATTTCATTTTTAAAGTTTTGTTTATTTTATTTACTTGAATGGAAGACAACTGCATTGAAAAATAAAAAGAAAGCACCATTAAGCTACTTAATTCTGGCCTCTCCAAATCTTAACGTGGTGTCATTTGCTAGCCAGGTGACCATGAACAAATTATTTAACCTCTCTGTGCCTCAGTTTCCTGATCTATTTGGGGAGGATACGATCCATCGGTTAGGGATCCTACATGTGAAGCACTTAGAACAATGCCTGGCACACAGTAAACTCTCTATCAATGGTAACTAACTTTCTTCTTCACCCTCAACTAGAATGTCAGCTCCACATGAGGGCAGCAATTTTGTCTTATTTAGTTCTGTATCCCCAGCATCTATTTTGTTCATAGTAGGCACTGAATAAATATCTCTTGAACAAATTGATTAATGAAAAATAACTGGGCTTTGAGATTGAAAGTCAAAGAAAAATTTTCCTAAGTTTTATAGCTAGTGAGGGAAGAATAGGCAGCAGTTTAGTCAGGGAGGTGGAAGAAAACCCTAAACTAAGATGCAAAGCCTGATTGAAGTTCAGATTTTTCCAACTCTCTGGGTATTACAACTAGAATTTTCTTTCTCAATTTCCTATTTCTTGTTCTTCTTATTTTTTGAGATAGGGTCTCATTCTGTCACCCAGGCTGGAATGCAGTGGCACAATCACAGCTTACTGCAGCCTTTGTCTCCTGGCTCAAGTGATCCTCCCACCTCAGCCTCCTAAGTAGCTAGGACTACAGGTACGTGCCACCACACCCAACTAATTTTTAAAATTTTTGTAGACACTAGGCCTCACTTTGTTGCCCAGGCTGGTCTCACACTCTTGGCCTCAAGTGATCCTCTGGCCTCAGCCTCTCAAGTGTTGGGATTACAGACGTGAGCCACCATGCCTGGCCTCTTTCTTAATTTGCAAAATGGGAATGACAGCTCCCGAGGTCATTCTGAGGAGTAAATTACAGTGTATGTGAAAGCTCATAATAAACTGTAAAGGAATATACAAAAACATGATATTGTTAATTTCTATCTCAGTAAGTTTTTCCATTGGATGACAATAAAGGGATTCTTTGAGAGTGTTGGAAAAAGGAATCTTTAGCTAAAGATTTCAGCACTAAAAATATTCAACCCCAGAGGTACCACAGACATAGTCTAATTTTTTCCATCTGTGCAGTTTAGGGTAGATTTGGCATATGCTCAATACCAGGCAAGAAAGAAACTATGGTTTAGGCTGCTTTTAAAGTTTTTTTTAAAAAAGGCAGAAAAAGAAACTATTTCCTTTTATAAGCAGGAATGTTAAAATAGGGAAAGCTTTCATCGAGCAATTCACTACTGAATCAAGACTACTTGATCCATATTCTCACCTACTTCCCCTCACTCCCTATTTGCGTTGTGGTTAGATCATGGCTTGTATATCATGGTAACTTCCTCACTAAAGGAAAATAATATAGATTATTTGTAAGCAGCCGCATGTGACTCAGAGGTCAAAAGAGTGTTCTTTTCAGGGCATTCTCTCTAAATTACTAATATTTAAGGACCTGTTTTTCAGAGTCACTGATTATTTAAAAATTATGGCTTTAAGATTAGGCTCCACCCTAGATGCCTCCTCAGAGGCTAAGCCTGAGGTTGAGAAACTAGCTTAAGGAGAAAGTTAAAGTAGCAGATATGTCATGGTGGGTGAGCTGATGACTCACTGCCCCGTCCTTGAACTGCAGGAATGACAAAATGGAAAAGGGGGAAAAAAAGGCAATGCCCCACTATAGACTAGAGGTTCCATGGAACCCAAGAAATTCCAAGAACTTGAAGAACCACATGGGTTCTTAGAGTAAAGGCAGTAAACTTAATTGCCACGGTCAAGTTGTCAAGTGCATCAAAGAAAGGACATAAGAAAGCTAAACTTGATTACACTTTACCATCAGCCTCAATCTGATCATTTTATTCTCCTGCTTAAAAACTTCAATAACTCAGCTGGCTGTGGTGGCTCACGCTCGTAATTCCAACACTTTGGGAGGTCGAGGTGGGAGGATCATGAGGTCAGGAGTTTGAGACCAGCCTGGCCAATATACTGAAACTCCCATCTTTACTAAAAATACAAAAATTAGCCAGGCATGGTTGCACACAACTGTAGTCTCAGCTAGTCGGGAGACTGAGGCAGGATTTAGGATACACCTTCTACCCCTCGTATAATTCCTAGGTCAAGAAGATCCATCTATGCTTTGGTCCTCTTTTAATATTTGATTCAATTCAACAAACCTGTGTTATTCTCCAATAGTGTGATGACATGCTCACACTTGCCTTCAGGGAGTACACAGTAAATTGAGGCAAGGATAGTAAACAATGAGTCCATCTAATTCATCAGGTTAAGTGATTTAACAAAGGAGTGGTGGTGCATGCCTGTAATCCCAGCTACTCAGGAGGCTGAGGCAGGAGAATCGCTTGAACCCAGGAGGCAGAGGTTGCAGCGAGCTGAGATCGTGCCACTGCACTCCAGCCTGGCAACAAGAGCAGACTCTGTCTCAAAAACAAAAAAACAAAAAACAATGTTGGCTTCACACTCATTCCTATAATCCCAACACTCTGGGAGGCCAAGGTGGTGGATCAGTTGAGGCCAAGAGTTCAAGACCAGGTTGGCCAACATGGCAAAACCCCTTCTACTAAAACTACAGAAATTGGCCAGGCATGGTGGTGCGGGCCTGTAGTCCCAGCTACTTGGGGGTGCTGAAGCATGGGAATTGCTTGAACCCAGGAGGCAGAAGTTGCAATGAGCCAAGATCACATCACTGCATGCCAGCCTGGGTGACAGAGTGAGACCCTGTCTCAAAAACAAAACCAAAGCAAACAAACAAACAAAACCCCCCACAAACCAGTGTCATTTAGTCAGGTGTGGTGCAGGCCTGTGGTCCTAGCTACAGGGGAGGCTGAGGCAGGAGGATCGCTTGAGTCCGGGACTTTGAGGCTTTAGTAAGCTATGAACATACCACTGCACTCCAGCCTGGGCAACAAAGCGAGACCCTGCCTCTAAAGCAAAAAAACCAAAAACCAAAACCACGCTAGTGTCATGAATATATTTCTTTAGATAAAACTTCATTAATCAGTTTTCTGTTTAGAATTGGCTTTCCCATAACCCAGTTAGCCAAAGGTAGCTGAGTAATTTGGAATATTCCCCAGCTGGAACAGAATCGCATTTGGGGCTTGCTTCAATCAGTGCACCTCTGTCTTGCTTTTGCTCTTCAAAGGGACCCTCAGTCAACCATAGCCTTTGAAGGCATGAGCTGAACGGAAACCAGATGGCTCTATTGAATTTTAAACTTGCCACAAGTTAACCAAATAAGTATATATATATATTTTTCTCTTATAGATTATGCCCAGAAAGAACTTGAGGTTGAGGTTAAAACACACACACACACCCACACCCACCGCCACCAAAAAAACAAATCACCAAACAAATTATTCCATACCCATTCCATTGGTTCTTTTGATGGCCTTCTGTCAGTGTTAATGGTTAGTGTGAAAGATTTTTGGAAAAGTTTTCCAGGTGGGAGTAACAGCATTTCCTGAAGCACCTTTTATCTTGATTTGTGGTAAATTTGTCTTTCAATGCCCTCAGGTCATTTATACCCTAAGACCCTGCATGAGTTTATTCAACCTTCAAGTCACTCACTTCTGCCCTCATCTAGGGCATATAACAATGTAGTTACTTACCCAGCAGGTAGCCTGGCTAAGTAAGACCATAAATAATTCACCTCAGCAAGAGCTTTTGGAGTTAGTCTTCTGTCTGAGCATCTCTGACTGATTATGCTACCTTAAACAAGTTACTTAACTTCTGTTTCATCTGATTTACCGGTTTCAAAAAAAAAAAAAAGAAGAAGAAGAAGAATGGTACCTTCCTCATAGGTTTATTGTGTGGAGTGAATTAAAGGTCTAAAGCACTTAGAACAGCATGTGGCATATGGCACATACCTCACTAGCTGGGACTACAGGTGTGTACTACCACACCTGGCTAATTTTATTTTGTAGAGACAGGTTCCTATTATGTTTCCTTGGCTGGTCTCAAACTCCTGGGCTCAAGCGATCCTCTCTCCTTGACCTCCCAAACTGTTGGGATTACAGGCATGAGCCACCACGCCTGGCAAACACTTTTTTTTAAGGGGTAGACATAAACATTCTTTAAATCCTTTTAAGAAAGAGCTTGAATTCTAGAATTTTAGAGCTCAAAAGGCTCTCAGGAGTCCATTTACTCAAACCCTGCCTCCAGCTGCATTATACTATAATCACTATATGCTGATAATTTTCTGATCTATTTTAAAGATGTTTAAGAATGGAGATCTCACAGGATCCTTTTAGATTAAGTGCCTCTTTGGAGGGTTCAGTATTCAATAAACATTAGCCTTATATTCTGTACTTTAAGTACTATTTCTCTATATTTTCACATGTAAGTGGGTATAATAAAAAATTAAAGGAAGAATGGTCATTTTTAGAACAAATCTTATTTACAAAAGCACAAGTCAGTCTGCTTTGGTATTGACAAAATCCCTACAACTGAGATATTAAAGAGATACATTTATTTTAGCTTTACATAAAACCAGAATCCAACACTATCCCGTTTTCCTATTCCTGTGTGGCTCTGAGTGCAGCTTTAAAAAAAAACAAAACAAAGCAAAGCAAAGCAAACCAACTCTTTATAATGTACAATGGCTTAAGCAAATCGCTTCTTCAGTTTTTTTCTATTTACGAATTAGGACAGACTACTCTTCTAAAATTTGCTATTTACAGAGAAAGCCCTAGGGAACAGGATAACTTATTTAGGTTTAGCTCTCATAATACAATATCCATAATGGCTTTAGAAGAATGTAAATAAATAACATTGGTAAACAATATATATTGGTATTTTCTGACAAACTCATTTATCTAACATCATGCTGAGCAATCAAGAGGATTCCTCCATATATTTTAATTTTAATTTATTCTGTTTGCTGATTCACAAACTCTTGCTCCATATTAAAGCAGTTATCACCAACAGAACCTATGAGAACGAGTGCCCATGGAAACCTAACAGCTTGTTTTCCTAATCCTCTATTAAAATTCGGTTGAGCTTGATATATGCATGGCTGAATACTAGGCCTTTATTCAGGTATGTAAAATTAATGGTATCTGGTATCAAGTTGTAAGAAAAACTCCCCCAGATTGGGAGGTAACTGAGTGATACGTGAAAGAATCTTCTCCTGTCTGAATTGAAGAATACACATACACAGGGCAGAAGAATGTAGGGGAGAGGAAGTAGAAATAGAAGAAAAGCACAATGCCACTGGCTTCAAACTGAGGTAATTAATTAGAGACATCAAATAAATACATCAACAAATGCCTCATTTTTGTTTTCTAAAAAAGATCACTGGGAAACTAACAATTTTAAAGTTGATCCATTAATACATTTTTAAATAGAAAAAAGTTTGTATATTATAATATCATAATTCCATTCATCTAATACACTCCTCTGCTGAGATATTTAACACATCTTCATCTGTACTCTCTTCTATCTCTGGCAAGTTGCCCCAAAGGAGGACATTTACACCTGAAAATAAAAAGTCACAAAATTCTTTAATGCTCACTACTGTTATAACTCAGAACATGAATTATAAAACTTTATCTGTTCATATTCTTATATAAACCATAGTGTTAGCAGTAATAAGTACAGCCATTAAAGAATGAGCTGCAAATAAAATTATCTAATATTATCTATCTGGGACATAAACTTTATTTTTTTGAGACAAGTTCTCTCTGTGTTGCCTAGGCTGGAGTGCCTGGCAGGATTACGGCTCACAATCACTGCTCACCGCAGCCTCAACCTCTAGGGCTCAAGTGATCCTCGTACCTCAGCCTTCTAAGTAGCTGGGACTACAGGTGTGTACTACCACACCTGGCTAATTTTATTTTGTAGAGACAGTTCCTACTTTGTTGCTTAGGCTGGTGTCAAACTCCTGGGCTTAAGCGATCCTCTTTCCTTGACCTCCCAAACTGTTGGGATTACAGGCATGAGCCACCATGCCTGGCAAACACTTTTTTTTAAGGGGTAGGATATAAACATTCTTTAAATCCTTTTAAGCAAGAGCTTGAATTCTGGAATTTTAGAGCTCAAAAGGCTCTCAGGAGTCCATTTACTCAAACCCTGCCTCCAGCTGCATTGTACTATAATCACTATACACTGATAATTTTCTGATCTATTTTAATGATGTTTAAGAATGGAGATCTCACAGGATCCTTTTAGATTACGTGCCTCTTTGGAGGGTTCAGGGAAAAGTCCCGAATAAGTCCCCTTATCCCTTCAATAAACAGAGAAGTAGCTGGTGCCATTTTTCTGATTCAGAAAAAAAGCAAGGGTTTGGAGCCAGTTATAATATGAACTGTAATCCTTGATACCAGTGGGTTTCAGTCCAAAAGCAGAGCTGTAAACTAAGTTTAGGACCAGGTTGCAGCAGCCACTACAATAAACAAAAAAATAATCAAAAACTTCACTGAGAAAGAATAGTCAGATTTCATACTGAAGAATGCAGCACGGATATACAGTAAACGATTAAACATACAGTAGAGAATAATGACAAGGTTTATTATTCTGGGTATATATTACATTATAACTTAAAAGCACTAAATAGAAAATAACTGACCACTAGAATAGTCAATTAACTTCACAAGAAAAGCAAAAAAAATTTTTTTTTGAGATGGAGTCTTGCTCTGTTGCCCAGGCTGGAGTGCAGTGGTGTAATCTTGGCTCACTGCAACCTCTGCCTCCTGGGTTCAAGGGATACTCCTGCCTCAGCCTCCCAAGTAGCTGGGACTAAAGGTAAGTGCTACCATGCCCAGCTAATTTTCGTATTTTTAGTAGAGACGGGTTTCAGCATGTTGGCCAGAGTGGTCTTGAACTCCTGACCTCAGGTGGTTCCCCTGCCTTGGCCTCCCAAAGTGCTGGGATTACAGACATGAGCCGCCATGCTTGGCCAGAAAAGCAGATCTTAAGCTGTCCAGTTATCAGCGTAGACACAAAGAGTACTCAGCAATTCTGGATACCCACTCCACACACACTGAGATAGAAGCCGCATGGTGGAATGGAATGAGCAAGGATTTGGAGATTTGGTTTGAATCTAGTGTTCACAACTGCCAGTATACCATGCATGGTTTTACTACAAATGCATGCAACCACAGACAATATATATTACTGTTTTGTGGATTTAAATTTTTTATAGAATGTTATTATACTACATGTTTTTTTTCTAATTTGCTTTTTCACACATTATGTTTTTGAGGTTAATCTATGTTGACTTGTGTAGATTTTGCTCATTTATTTTTACTTCTAGAGAGTATTCCATTTTGCGAATTTTTTAAAATGTTGCAAATACAGCTCATTGCTCATTCCTTCCTCAGCTGCCCATCTTGCATAGGTAGCCCAAGGAGACATGCCCAGGGATTTGTAGTGTGACATTGTTGATATAGTAGAAATAATCAACTGTTTTCCTTGACTGAAGGAGATACTGGAATCTAAGCTGGCAAGAAGTTAGCATGTATTTGATGCTGGTAGGGATAGAGATGTCTATCTTATTATTTTCTATAATCTTTTTGTATCTGATTTGTTTATAATAAAAAATGCTACCCCACTCCCACCCCAAGAATGAATGGTGTTCTGCTCCTGGTAAATGTCATGGAAGAGCTGACAGGAAGAGTTGTAAGGAATTGTGAGGCAAAAATCTAAGTAAAAATTAGAACCCATAAAGGTAAATAGAGGGCTGAAGCCATGTTGCCTCTGAGGGGATTTGCCAATTTCAGGAAATCTGAGCTGAGGTTTCCCAAGCCTCCTCAAGAAAGTTCTGGGAAATCAGGTCTCTATGTGAAGACTAGATGTCTAGAAAACAGACCTCCAGGAGTCTTTTTCAGTCTAAACATTCTAGAATTTGTAAAGCTTGTCTATGCATTCCTTTGACATTACTGGTTCAGGTGATTCAAGGATAGTTGTGACGCCATTAGAAACCTGCTTTGATACCAAACATCTAGAAAATCTTGCTTGAAATCACAATATTAAGGTTACAAAGCAGAAGCTTGATATTCTTGGAGTCGGTATTCAGAGACATGAAGCAGCTCAGCACAATTGGTTCAAAGGAGGAAAAATAAACTAAGAGATTGGATCTGACAGAAGCAGCACCTTCCTTTCTCTGTTAAGAAGGGAGGAAGGAAATCCTGTGATACATCTGTTTCTTATGGATTAGATTCAGTGCAAATGGAAGAACGCTGGGCTTTTATCTTTGAAAAATTGACCAATATTAAAAAGTAAATCAAACTTGAAAAATCTCCACCCTGTGTTTTGAATTCTGTAAAGCAGGAAAAATACTATCAAAGCAGAAACTTCCTTTAATGTGTCCCATGGGTAACACAAATATAAAAGTGGAGGCTTAAATTAGGAGACTGTATCCCACTTAGGGGAGTTCAGATAAGTCCTTATATGAAAATAGCCTTCTTAACATACCAAAAGTTTTGAATTAAGTCCCCATAAATGATAGATTGAGAGCCACAGCTGAATCCCAGGTGATTTAAAAAAAAATCAAATCTGTAAAAATCTAAGCATAATTGGAGCATTTAAAGACCCCTGACAACCTAGCTTGCAATTCATGATCTTTTGGTCTGTGAAGGCAAATCATATATTAAAAAATATATTTAAGTTCTAAAGGAGACTAAAACATGCATTTTGGAACCTAAGAATGCTAGTGTAACTTAGATTGTTGAGTTCCTTAAAGTCGGCTGGTTTGGTGTCTAAGGCCTGTAATCCCAACCCTTTGGGAGGCTGAGGTTGGTCAATCACTTGAGGCCAGGAGTTTGAGACCAGCCTAGGCAAAATGGCAAAAAACCTGTCTCTACGAAAAATAAAAAACATTAGCCTGGCATGCTGGCACAGGCCTGTGGTCCCACCTATTCAGAAGGCTGAAGTGTGAGAATCCCTTGAGCCTGGGAGGTTGAGGCTGCAGTGAACTGAGATTGTGCCACCGCACTTCAGTCTAGGTGACAGAGCAAGACCCTGTCTCCAAAAGAAAAAAGAAAAGTTCCTTAAAATCAACTTGGTCTGTTGTGTAAATAGATGTTAGACATTGAGAACATGTGTCTTATAACAAAACTGAATGGCTCCAGGCAATATAAAAAATATTATATAAATCCCCTTTAAGAATTGGTACTTCGGCTGGTGTGGTGGCTCACACCTGTAATCCCAGAACTTTGGGAGACTGAGGAGGGTGGATCACCAGAGGCCAGGAGTTCGAGACCAGCCTGGCCAACAAGTCAAAACCTTTTCTTTACTAAAAATACAAAAATTAGCCGGGCATGGTGGTGTGTGCCTGTAATCACAGCTACTCAGAAGGCTGAGGCAGGAGAATCACTTGAACCAGGGAGGTGGATGTCATAGTGAGCCGAGATCGTGCCAATGCACTCCAGCCTTTGGAGACAGAGTGAGACTCCATCTCAAAAAAAAAAAAAAAGAATTGGTACTTGAGGCCAGGCACGGTGGCTTATACCTGTAATCCCAGCACTTTGGGAGGCTGAGGTGGGCGGATCACTTGAGGTTAGGCGTTTAAGACCAGTCTGACCAGCTGACCAACATGGTGAAACCTCATCCCTACTAAAAATACAAAAAAATTAGCCGGGCGTGATGGCGCATGCCTTTAATCCCAGCTACTAGGGAGGCTGAGGCACGAGCATTGCTTGAACCTGGGAGGCGGAGGTTGCAGTGAGCCAAGATCACACCATTGCACTCTAGCCTGGGCAACAAAAGTGAAACTCTGCCTCAAAAAAAAAAAAAAAAAAAAAAAAATTAGTACTTAGTATTCAGCACCTTAGCACCTTAACACAAAGTGAACAAAGAAAAAAGAATTGGTAGTGTATTTTCTTAGTAAAGTAATTTTTTGAGATAGGGTCTCACTTTGTTGTCCAGGCTGGAGTAAAGTGGTGCCATCTCGGCTCACTGCAACCTCCACCTCCTGGGTTCAAGCAGGGTTTAACCATACTGGCTAGGCTGGTCTCGAACTCCTGACTTCAGGTGATTGTCTGCCTTGGCCTCCCAAAGTGTGGAATTACAGGCATAAGCCACTGTGCCTGGCCTTGCTAAAATAATCAGTATAGGCATACCTCATTTAATTGTGCTTTACTTTATTGCATACCATAGATATTGGGCTTTCTATAAATTGAAGGTTTTGGTGATCCTGCATTGAGTAAGTCTAACAGCATATGCTCACCTTGTGTCTGCTACATTTTGATAATTCTCTCAATATTTCAACCTTTTTCATTATTATTATATATATTATGGTGATCTGTGATCTTTGATGTTACTGTTAAAATTGTTTCGGGGTGCCATGAACCACACCCACTTAAGAGCACACCCACTTAAGAATGCAAACTTAATCAATACATATTTTGTGTGTTCTGACTGCTCCACTGACCAGCTGTTCTCTCTCTCTTTCCTGGGGCCTCCCTACTTCCTAAGATACAACAATATTGAAATGAGGCCAGTTAATATTCCTACAATGACCTCCATGTGTTCAGGTGAGAGGAGAAAGTCTCTCATTTTAAATCAAAAGCTAGAAATAATTAAGCGTAGTGAGAAAGACATATTGAAAGCTGAGACAGGCTGAAAGTTGGGCCTTTTGTGCCCAATTGTTAGCCAACTTGTGAATGCAAAGAAAAGTTCTTAAAGGACATAAGAAGTGCTACTCCAGTGAAAACATAAATAAGAAAGTGCAACAGCCTTATTGCTGATATGGAGAAAGTTGTAGTGACCTAGACAGAAGATTAAGCCAGCCATGACATTCTGTTAAGCCAAAACCTAATCCAGAGCTAGGTCTTGATTCTCTGCAATTCTATGAAGGGCAAGGAATTCGAGGAAACTATAGAAGAAAGTTTGAAGCTAGCAGAGGTTGGTTTGTAGAGTTTAAGAAAAGAAGCCATTTCTACAAAATACAAGTGCAGATGAAGCAAAAAGTGCTGATGTAGAAGCTGCAGCAAGTTACCCAGAAAATCTAGCTAAGATCATTGATGGAGGTGGCTACACTAAACAACAGATTTTATTTTATTTTATTTTTTTGAGATGGAGTTTTGTTCTTGGTGTGATGGCGTGATCTCAGGTCACTTCAAACTCCGTCTCCTGGGTTCAAGTGATTCTTCCGCCTCATGTACCATCATGCCTGGCTAATTTTGTATTTTTGGTAGAGACAGGGTTCCAATATGTTGGTCAGGCTGGTCTCAAACTTCTGACCTCATGTGATCCACCCACCTCAGCCTCCCAAAGTTCTGGGATTATAGGCGTGAACCACTGCATCTGGCAGAGATTTTCAATACACACAAAACAGCCTTCTATTGGAAGTAGATGCCTTTGAAGACTTTCATAGCTAGAGAGGAGAAGTAATACTTGGCTTCAAAACTTCAAAGGACAGGCTGAATCTCTTGTTAGAGGATAGTGCAGCTGGTGACTTTAAGTTGAATCCAATGCTCATTTACTATTCTGAAATTTCTTGGGTTCTTAGGAATTATGCTAAATATACTTTGCCTGTGCTCTATCAATGATATAGCAAAGCCTGGATGACAGCAAATCAGTTTACAGTATGTTTTACTAAATATTTTAAGCCCATTGTTAAGACCTACTGCTCAGAAAAAAAAAAAGATCCCTTTGAAAATATTACTGTTCATTGACAATGGACTTAGTCACCCAAGAGCTCTGATGGAGTTGTACAAGGAGATAAATGTTGGTTTAATGCTTTAACACAAAATCTGTTTGGCAGCCCATGAATCAAGAAGTAATTTAGTCTTTCAAGTCTTATTATTTAAGAGATACATTTCATAAGGCTATAGTTGCCATAAATTAGTGATTCTTCTGATGGATCTGGGCAAAGTACATTGAAAACCTTCTGGAAAAGCACCTTCCTGATTCATGGGAGATCAAAATATCAGCCTTAACAGGAGTTTGGTAGAAGTTGATTCCAACACTCATGGGTAACTTTGAGAGGTTCTAGACTTCAGTGGAGGAAGTAACTGCACATGTGGTAGAAATAGCAAGAGAACTAGAATTAGAAGGGGAGCCTGAAGATGTGACTGAATTGCTATAATCTCATGATTGAACTTGAAATGATGAGGAGTTGCTTCTTATGGCTGAGCAAAGAAAATGGTTTCTTGAGGTGAAATCTACTCCTGATGAAGATGCTGTAGATGTTGTTCAAATGGAAACAAAGGAATTAGAATATTACATATACATAGTTGATAAAGTAGTAGCAGAATTTGAGAGGATTGACTCCAATTTTGAAAGAGCTTCTACTATGTGTAAAATGCTATCAAATAGTAACACATGCTACAGAGAAATCTTTTGTGAAAGGAAGAGTTAATCCATGCAGCAAACCTCATTGTTGTCTTATTTTAAGAAATTGCCAGGCCAGGTGCAGTGGCTCATGCCTATAATCCCAGCACTTTGGGAGGCCCTGGAGGGCGGATCACCTGGTCAGGAGATCAAGATCAGTCTGACCAACATGGGCAAACCCCATCTCTACTAAAAATACAAAATTAGCCAGGTGTGGTGGTACATGCCTGTAATCCTAGCTACTTGGGAGGCTGAGGCAGGAGAATCGCTGGAACCCAGGAGATAGAGGTTGCAGTGAGCTTAGATCATGCCATTGGACTCCAGCCTGGGCAACAAGTGCAAAACTTCATCTCAAAAAAAGAAAAAAAAAAAAAAAAGAAATTGCCACAGCCATCCTAACCTCCAGCAATCACCACCCTGATCAGTTTGCAGTCATCAACAGTGAGGCAAGACCCTCTACCAGCAAAAAGATTATGACTTGCTGAAGGTTCAGATGAACATTAGCATTTTTTAGCAATAAAGCATTTTTTTTCTTTTTTGAGACAGGATCTTGTATTGTTGCCCAGGCTGAAATGCTGTGGCATGATCATAGCTCACTGCAAACTCTACCTCCCAAATTCAAGTGATCCTTCCACCTCAGCCTCCTGGGTAGCTAGGACCACAGCATACACCACCATGCCTGGCTAATTTTTAAATTTTTTAGAGATGAGGTCTGAGCATGTTGCCCAGGCTGGTCTCAAACTCCTGGGCTCAAGTGATCCTCCCGTCTTGGACTGCCAAAGTGCTCGGATTACAGGCATGAGCCACTACTCTGTTCTCGGACTAATAACATATTTTTTAATTAAGGTATGCACATTGCTTTTTAGATATTATGCTATTGCACACTCAATAGACTAGAGTATATTGTAGACATAACTTTTATATACACTCGGAAACCAAAAAATTGTGTGACTTGCTGTAATTGGGATATTTGCTTGCTTTATTGTGGTGGTCTGGAACTGAACGCACAATGTCTTCAACTGTGCCTGTACAAGATACTTTATACTTTGGTGTTAAATATTTCCCTTGACTAAAATTCTATCCTAATTTATTAACATAGATGTCAAAATGTCTGTTTTTATTCTGAAGCATCACCAAATACAGAGGTTACTTAGTCCTCTTCCTCTCAACTCCCATTACCCTAGCCTGGCCTCTCTCCCTTTCTTACACACACACACACACACACACACACACACACACACACACACGACTATGAAATCTAAAATCTTCAAAAATTCTCTGGAGTTAGAATATTTATCAAGGCAGCAGTTAAGAGCAATTACAGTATTCATTTTAAAACACCAAGAAATTCAGCCACGTTTGAGGCCTTAAGTACAAGGATGAACATAGAAATGACAATGAATTTTGCCCAGTAGTTTTCATAAGTGAATGTCTGGGAATAAAGAACTGAAATTTCACTCTAGCTGATCTAGCTAAGAAGATCTAAAAGGAATCCTGAAATGATCTATTGGGAATTTATTCAGGTATTGATAGAGAAATGTTACAGGAATGTCCATGTCCATTGTTTCTTACCTGTGGAGTCTAGTCTGTCAGTATCATAAACTGCCTGGCTGTGAAACATCCAGAAGTGTCCGTTGTTGCAGGAAAGAAGGCAGGAACTACATGGAACAATCACATGATAACCTACAATGTTCCCACTAGAAAAGAAAGTAAATGTTACTAGCTACCATGTAATACCTGGCCAGATAAGTCTTTTTATGTGCTTATATAAATAGATAGACCATATTATTTAGATCTCATTTTCTCCTAACAACTTTCATTGCTGGAATCTTTGCGAGAGGATGAGGGTGCAGCTCTACCATCAGGTGGGAAAGCAGTCTTTAAGTGAATAGTAACATATTCTCACATTTCTTTGCTAGTATTATTATTATTATTTTTGAGACAGTTTCCCCCTTACTGCACAAGAGTGCAATGGCGCCATCTTGGTTCACTGCAACCTCCACCTCCTGGATCCAAGCAATTCTTCTGCCTCAGTCTCCAGAATAGCTGGGATTACAGGTATGCGCCACCATGCCCAGCGAATTTTTGTATTATTAGTAGAGTACGGGGTTTTACCATGTTGGCTAGGCTCATCTCAAACTCCTGACCTCAGGTGATCCACCCGCCTTGGATTCCCAAAGTGCTGGGATTATAGGTGTGAGCCACCACACCTGGCCTGCTAGTATCATTTTATGCATTCTTCCTTCAGAAGTTAGCGTCTAGATGCCAAAAGGTTGTGATTTGTTCTATAAACCACCCAAATTGATGTGCTGTTCAGACAAAATAAATTAAATAAACTCAGTTCTGTGGGTAAAGGTTTTTGCTAGCCCAGGACTGTGGTAAGTTGGGTTCTGACATGTTCTAGTTTCATGCCAGCACCTAAAAACTGTTTCAACAGATGGAGAGGTAGGAAGACAGCATGAGTCCCTGTAAACCAAATACAAGCTGGCTGCTCTAATTTTAGTCACAGTGTTTTTGAAGGAATTCAGAAATAAAGCAAATCTACAGCCTCTAGAGAAAGTTGCAAAAGTTTTTACAGTTTTCAGAATTATCCAGCTGATTATAAGTATCTCACTCTTTCACATTTTTTTTTTAACTAGCTAGTCACATATTAAATAGAGTGAACCTACTGGGAATGTTTTAGCTAGTACTTTAAAAAAAAATGGCAACATGGACTGTTTATACCTTGAGTTGTAAAAATTCTTACTGTAGCTTAGTCTTACTCTGTGAGATTTGAAAGTTAGTCATTTTTATGAGACCTTATAAAGATTACTATAAAAGGTACCAGCCCACCTAAAATATGCCTTCTAATTATAACCGGCTTGAAAGACAAACAAATGAAAACAAAAGTTGTTTTTGCACTAGGACTGACAGTTATTTGTAAGACTACATTGCAAGGTAAATTCCATGGTTTAATTACCACCTATATTCATTCATTCATCCATTGATTCATCATTTAACTAACATTTATTGAGTACCTACTATTTGCCAGGCACTGCTCTAGGTGCTAGGAATACAGAGGTAAACAAAGCCCTTGTTCTCATGGAGCTAACATTCAATTTTTGTATGTTTTTGCAGAGATGAGGTCGCAGCATGTTGCCCAGGCTGGTCTCAAACTCTTGGGCTCAAGTGATCCTCCTGCTTTGGACTGCCAAAGTGCTGGGATTATAGGCATTAGCCACCACTCTTGGCCCAATAACGTAGATTAGATCATTCTGCTCCCTTGTTAAAACCCCTTCGATGGCCAAAAATGAAAATAAAACCCCCTCCATACCAAGGTCTAGATCTATGCTATCAAAAATAATAGCCACTAGACACATGTGGCTGTTGGACACTTGAAATAGGGCTGGCCTGAATTGAGATGTGCTGTAAGTGTAAAATGTAAACCAGATTTCAAAGAGTAAGAACAAAAAATGGAATGTAAAATATTACATTAGTAATTTATGTGGGTTACACATAATTTAATTTAATGGGTTACACATTAAAATAACATTATGGATACACTGGGTTAAACAAAATATGTGATTAAAATTAACTTTCCTGTTTTGGTTTTCTTTCGAAAATGTTGCTGCCTGGGCGTGGTGGCTCACACCTGTAATCCCACACTTTGGGAGGCTGAGGCAGACGGATCACCTGAGGTCAGGAATTTGAGACCAGCCTGGTTAAAACAGTGAAACCCCGTTTCTACTAAAAATACAAAAATTAGCCAGGTGGGCTGGGTGCGGTGGCTTATGCCTGCAATCCTAACACTTTGGGAGGTCGAGGCGAGTGGATTGCCAGAGCTCAGGAGTTCAAGACCAGCCTGGGCAACATGGTGAAACCCTGTTTCTACCAAAATACAAAAAATTAGCCAGGCATGGCAGTGCATGCCTGTACTCCTAGCTACTTGAGAAGCTGAGGCAGGAGAATCATTTGAACCCAGGAGGCGGAGGTTGCAGTGAGCTGAGATCGTGTCATTGCACTCCAGCCTGGGTGACAGGGCAAGACTTTGTCTCAAAAATAAATAAAACAAAATGCTGTTACTAGAAAAATTTAAATTATATATGTGGCTTGCATATTTCTATTGGACAACACTGCTCTAGATTATCTGGGTTCTGACTACGTCTCTAACCTACTCAAACTATTCTCCCTCCATGTTCACATCTTAGCCACACCAACCGTCATCTTTCATTACTAGAACATGTCTAACTTCTCTTTGCCATGAGTTCTTTGCATCTGCTATTCTCTCTGACTTTTTATAACAAGACTTCCATGACCATGATATCTAAAATAGCTCTCAATTTCTCAACTTCCATAATTCTCTGTCTTTTATTATTTCTTTAGGAGTACTTTCCACCGTATTAAATATTTATTTAAGTACCTTATTGATTGATCATCTTCCCACTAGAAAATAATGTCCAAAGCTCAGTAACTTCATCTAGTTTTTTTGTTGTATTTCCGGTCCTTGTAACAATGACTAGTACATACTAGTTCCTCAATATAAGTACAGCTTGAATAAATGAAGGAATGAAATCAAACAGCACATAAGAAGAATTTGCCAATTTAAATTATTAGGATTGTCAGTTATAATGCAAACCTCATCTAAACACAAACCCCATCTAAATGAGAACATCTCAACTTTTTACCTCCTAAAATGACAATAATAACATGTCTGTTACTCCTCAAAATATTATAGTAATAGTTCTCAGCTGTGTTGTAATTAATAGTTTATTGAGCCTTTTAACATTCATGTTTGATATTTACAATAACTTGATAAGGTAAATACAGAAAATTATTAAATTTCTATCTTAATAAGAGAGAAATTAAGTTAAGATGCAGTGGCTCACACCTGTAATTCTAGCCCTTTGGGAAGCTGAGGAGGGAGGATCATTTGAGGCCAGGAGTTTGAGATCAGCCTGGACAACAGCAAGACCCTGTTGCTTCAAAAAATAAAAAACTTAGCCAAGCATGGTGGAGCTTGCCTGTAGTCCCAGCTATGCAGGAAGCTGAGGTAGGAGAATCACTTGAGCCCAGGAGTTCAAGGTTACAGTGAGCTATGATCATGCCACTGCACTCCAGCCTGAGCAACAGTACAAGACCCCTCTAAAAATAAAAAAAGAATAACAACATAAAAATTAAAATAAGAAAACAGAGGTTCATCAGTTTAGAGGCTTAAGGAGTTCAGCCAAGTAGGGTCAGACCTCAAACATGATTTTTATTATTGTAAATCCAAGTGTTTTTTTCCCCTAACCTACATTGCCTTGTTCTGAAAATTCATGCAAGTACTGTGAATGTACTTTGAAAACTGTAAAATTATATACTAACGTGAAGCATCACAAAATGCATTTAAAAAATAGTTCTAAGTAATAAATGACTTTTCAGTGGCTCATTGCATGCTTTTTACCAGTGCTTGTTGCAGCCCACTGAACCTTTCTCTATGCGTTGGTGTCAATATCCATCTTCCAAACCCAAGGTTATCCAGAATAGTGCCACAAATTACCATTTTAAACATGCGATGTCCTTCAGTTTACATTTGCAGATTTTGGTGAAATAGCATCGTCCAGTGAAGTCCACTGCGCTGGAGAGAGAAAGGCATAATGATAGTCAAATGTACTTCACCAAAGTTTATCTGTGGCAAAAAATTAACAAAATTTACCAACCATTTTTATGTGTACAGGGCAGATGTATTAAATATAATCAAACTGTTACATAATGAATCTCCAGACCTTTTTCATTTTGCAAAACTGGAGCTCTATGCTAATCAAATAACAACCCACAGGTTCCCCTTCTCCCAGCCCCTGGCCACCACCATTATACTTTCTGTTTCTATGATTTTGACCACTTTAGATATCTAAGAGGAATCATACAGTATTTGTCTTTTTGTAATTGGCTTATTTCATTTAACATAAATTCCTCAAGTTTCATTCATATTGTAGCATGTGACAGGACTTTCTTTTTTTAAAGAGTGAATAATATTCTATTGTATGTATATACCTCTTTTTTGGGGGGGAAGTGGGACAGTCTTGCTCTGCTGCCAGGCTGGAGCGCAGTGGTGCGATCTTGGCTCACTGCAATCTCTGCCTCTTGGGGTCAAGCAATTCCATTGCCTCAGCCTCCCAAGTAGCTAGGACTACAGGCGCACACTACCACACCCAGCTAATTTTTTGTATTTTAGTAGAGTCGGGGTTTTACCATGTTGGCCAGGGTGATCACGAGGAATGACCTTGTGATCTGCCCATCTTGGCCTCTCAAAGTGCTGGGATTATAGGTGTGAGCCACCGTGCCTGACCTTTTATTTATTTATTTTTTTTAAGAGACAGTGTCTTGCTGTGTTGCCCAGGCTGGACTTGAACTCCTAGGCTCAAGTGACCTTCCTAACTCAGTTTCCCAAGTGGGTGGAACTATAGGCACCCTATACCACATTTTGTTTATCCATTCACCTGTAGAGTCAATGGACATTGGGACTGTTTCCATCTCTTGGCTACTGTGAATAATGCTATTAATGAACATGGGTATGCAAATTATCTCTTCCAAGATCCAGCTTTGAAGTCTTTTGGCTATATACCCAGAACTGCTAGATCAGATAGAAATTCTATGCTTGATTTAGCACAAATATTTCCAATCCAAAGAGCTGAAAAAGACTCTAACATAGAAGTATATTTTTAAAGAGTCAGTTTATATTTGCGAGCTCACCATAAACATGACAAATTTTCCATTTAAAAAATTTTTATGTGTTCATTGATTCATATATATCTTAGCATGTTAATTCATCACTATTTTAACCCCTAAAAAGAAGAGCAGAAAATAAGAAAAATCTGATTCTATTCTAGACTTGGGTCTAACCCCTAACAATTCACCTAGCCTTCCTTATGACTGCCTTATTACTTACCACAGCTATTGCAAATATGAATGGGTTAATATTTTAAATTTATATATGAGCTTCTAAAAAGAAAAAGCAGTGGACAATGAATCATAGAACTCTGTAGTAATAGGTTCTATGATTTATTGTCTAGTGTTTTTCCTTTTTTTGCAATACATATACAATGTACATACAAAAACCCTTAAAATATTAATTTTAAAAAATTAAAAAGATTTAAAAATAACCCATTTATCTCTGCAATAAATGAGAGACTTTGGCTTTGCTGATAGGCATGATTATACTTAGACGAATTCAGAAAAGAATTCAAGTAAGGAAGAGTACATGGCTTTACCTGAGTAAACTAAAAAACTTGTAAAGCTTCCATCATTATCATAAAATTCATTTAAAATGAATTATGGTTATTAGCCTGCCTCCTCTGGCTCTATATCCAAAGATTTAGAGAATAACTGTCCACTCATAGTTTCGATAATTACTTTCCTTTTAATAATAAAATTTCAATAAAGAACTAAATCTTGAAGATTCATGTAGAGCATATACATGTTGACTATGGAAAGAGAAAATACCATTTAGAGCTAGAAAAAGGTTACTTGAGTCAAATAAAATGGCTATTTACCAAATAGGAAGCAAATTCTTAAGGACTCTACACCCCAAAGAAGTTAGTGGCTGAAAACAAACAGATTTTAAAAGGGTTCAATTATGAGAACAAATGTGTAATATCCAAAATAGGCTTTATGGGAAATAAGGATTAAGGCTAAGTCTCTATTTTTCATCCCATAAAAATCGATTTACATCTCTTTCAGAGAGAAAGAGTTTTGAGGAAAAAACTGAATTTGATGAACAACGGATCTGATTCAGGATGCCAATTGCAAATAATTGTATTTTTTTTTTCTGGTGCAAGATTTCATGGATAAAAATGAAAAACTTAAATACCTCTCCTCTCCAACAGTACAGAAAATTTGCCTGAATTTACGTAGAGTCTAGGTCATGGACTTGATTCAGTGAAATAGGATGGTTGGGCACGGCACTGAACAGGGATCAAACTTAAGAGATGTGTGGTCGCATGACTGTAATTGAATTAGAAGTATTACATCAGGACTGACCACATTGGCTAAACCACAGACTTTGTCCAGACAGTCTGCCCACTTAGATATATTCCAAGGGGATCATCAAAATGTTGGGAGTGGCTGGAAACGATAACCTCCTTGTTGACTCCCAGAGATCCAAGCCATAGTTTTCCCATTTAGTTAAAAGCTACCGTTGCCCGCCTCTAGCATGACTTACTTGGTAGGAGGGATGTCTGTAGAGAAAAGGTCTATTTCAGTATCAGCCAGCAAAACAGCCTTCATTCCCCTAGAGCTGAGCACTTGTTTACAGAATTTGCAACACAGGATGGACACGCACCGGTCCTTGAAACTACAAATGTTGGTAGTCATGGCGTCGCAGGAAGGATGAGGTGTAGGATGTTGAAAAAGGAAACAAGAGCAATTGCTCCTACTACTTTGATTTCCCTAGGCTAAAAACCAAGTTGCGAGACTTCGAGCTTCTCTAAGCCCTAAAACTGGGAAGGAAACGAGTTCTTTTCTGTTTTCCTGGTGGAGGAGCAGAAGCAAAATTTATTGAGTAGAAACAGGGGAGCGCGGCAAACTGGCTTTCCTTTTAACTTTCGGAGAAGGGAGTGGAGTTTGAATTGGAGAGGAGGCGGGTGGGGTTTGAAACGAACTTCTCAACAGCTTTCCCTTTCTCCTGTCTGAAGGAGTCCTCTACCCCTCAGCTCCCGCCCCTTCACAGCAATTCCCTCCGCCTCCTCCGATCGTCTTTTATTTAAAGCTTCTCCTCTTTTAAGACGTCCCTTTCCCAGCGTTAAGCCCCTCCCCCAGAGCGCTCCCGTTCCCAGCTCAGGGATCTCGGGCTTAGCGTCCCTACCACGCCTCCTCTTCCCAGGATTCAGGAACTCCCTTCGCTCTTTCCTCCGGGAGGTCCTGCGTTCTCCTCCGTCCCGCCCCGCTCTCTCCCGGACCTTGCTCCGCTCTGCGGGTCCGCGGGCCCCTCTCCTGGCAGTCCCCAGCCCTCAGCGTGCTCGCCCTCGCGCCGTTTCTCTCGTGTCCTCCCTCCCCTCAGCTGTCCCCCGTGCCCCCGCAGTCCTCTCAGGTCTCTTCCCGGAGCAGCCGTTCCCGGGCGCGAGGTGGTGTTGGTGGGGCAGAGCTGAAGTCGCTTTTGGGGCTCAGTCGGCGCCGGGGTCTGTCACCGAACACGTTGGTTTTTGCTCCCTCTTCCCCTTTTCCTGTCTCTCCAACCTGGTGTCAGTTTGAATTGCCAGCGCCGCGCACCGATTGGGAGAACTAGAGCTCGCCTCCGTCCCGCATTGGAAGGCTCCGCGGCCTCCCCTGCCGAGAGCTAGTGGCTTGAAGGCTATAGGCGCCGCCCCAGTAACGGTGCTGAGATCAGCTCGGCTTTTTGGTTGGCCGAGCTTGGCTCCGCCTCCGATCTCATTGGCTGGCTTCGGGAAGTTTCGGCAAATCCTCCCTTAGCCCTGGAGAAAGTGGCAAGGCACGCCCTTCCCGTTTCTTATTGGAAGAGAATTTACAGTCCCCGCCGTTCTCTACTCTCTATTGGCTATAATTCTCCGCAACACCCCTTCTCTACCCAGGCCCAATTGGCCATGCCTTCGCTCAAGAGTTTGTGTTTGGTGGTCCGCTCCATCTTAATCCCGCCCATCAGTTCTACTGAAGGGTTCGACAACCTGGGGTGGAGCTTAATCTGTGACCACGCCTCAACAGCGCTAGTCACACCTCCAAGTTTTGCCAGCTCCTCCCCCTCATTCCGGGCCTCTCGGGATCAGCTCTTCCTATTGGCTATAGGCCCCATCGGTCGATAGAAAGCGGGCGGTGATTGGTAAAGGGGTGGGATCTGGTTCCCGGCGGGGTCCTGCAGAGTTGGCGGAGGCTCCTCAAGGGACTGGGGCACCGATCTGCGTAGAAGCGGGTGGCGGGGAAGAGAGGGGAGGAGAGCTCTGAGTGGGAAGCGGAGCCGGGGGCCTGGGACCCGTCGCGTCAGAGCCAGGTAAAGGCTCCTTCCCTCTTCCTTTTCTCCCTCCTGGCCGCCGGGCTGGAGCCCTGACTGAACAAACCCGGGCTGGGGCGGGAAGGAGAGGGCGCGGATGCTGCTCCCGGCATCGCCTTAGCGGTGCCGCCCGGAATCCCTCAGACCGCCCCTCCACCCTCTCCAAATCTCCCAGTACAGCCCATAATACTTCTCGGGACTGCGAGTCTCTCCGCCCATCACTGTGCAGCCTGGGACTCTGTCCTGGCTCACCCACCGAAGCGCAGCCCGCACCCAGCCGCCTCCCCCGTTCCTCTGCACACGGGCAGCCGCGGTCCACCGTGGGGCAGTAGTCGTTGGCATCGCGCGTAACCATCGGCTGGCCTCCTTCCTTGCCTCCCAGCCTTGGCGGACAGCCGCGATCCCAGCCCAGGACCCAGGAGGATGGGTGTTCCGTGCAGCTTCCGGGGCTTTCCCCCAGTTCCACCCCTCGGCCTGCCGCGATGGACTTCTCTTCACCCACTCCCATTCCTAGACCACATCTCGGTCCCCACAGTTCCTAACATCCTCGCTCTTCACGCAACATCGCGGCCCAAATGATCGTCCCCAATGCCCCTCACCCCAAAGGCAGCCTTCTTGCCCTCTCCCGCCTTCCGAGCGTGTGCCGCTCCAGTTGTCCCCGGGCTCCCTTCCAGCCTCTGGACCCTATCTCATACCCGCCTCCCGCTTCCTGCCCGCCTGAACCCTGCCGCCTTTGCTCTCTGTCTTACTTCCTCAGTGTGGCCCCTTCCTCCAGCCGCAAGAAGTGGGAGACGCTAGCGGGAGCTTCCTCCTCCCGGCGCTCGGAGGAAAAGGAACAACCAAGGAGGAAGGGTCGCCGCTGCGGCACGCGGGGGAGCTAGACGCCTGGCTCCGCGCTTCGGCTCGCGTCCCTCCCGCTTCCTGGGCCTCGACCGAGTTAGGATCTTCTCGGGCACCTCCTGGTGCGAGGAGTGGGGACTGCGACCTCACCAACCTGCCCCCATCCCCAGCCTGGGATTGGGTGCGATATCTGGGATCTCTCGGCTTGGGTGGCAAAAAAATATTGAGGGTGGCATTTATAGTCGCTATCGTCCCTAACTTGGGGGAGGTGACGGCTGCCTTCCGCTGGCTCCCCCTCGGTTTTCCCAGCCCCTACTCTATCCTCTAACCCGTTTCCTGCTTCAGCTGACCACATTGTTTTCCTGGATGTGTCCCGTGCCGAGGCTTTTTCCTGCAGATTTGCCACCCCTCCGCACCCCCCGCCTCCGCCCCGCCAACATTTTGCTGCCAAGAGAAGCCAGTAACCAAACACAAAACAACTGGGAGGAGGGGCGGGAGGGGAAGAAAAGTTGTGCCCGGGTGGCTTGTCCCTCCCCGGCTTTGATCCCCTTTGATGTCCAGGGAGGTGACTCAGCCGGGGGTCTGGGACCGAGTCGGGGGCTTAGGTCGGGAGGGCTCCCTCGGGCTGGCAGCTGCCCAGCGCCGGCGGAGCTTGGGAGGCCACCGAAGTGCCGCAGTCCCCGCCCGGTGCCCCGCGTTCCTGCAGTCCCCGCCCGGAGCCCGCGCAGGCGGCTGCTCCAAAGTGTTTTCTTTCAGCCTTAAAACAAAATCCGGAGGGAGCTTCCTTCCTCCCCATCTCGCAGCGCCGGGCTCTGCCGACCCGGCGGCGTTTGGAGGGCTGGAATGGGCCCCGGGCGGGCTCCGAACTACGTCCCCTACCCCACCCCCGCCGTGATTAGGATCTGCTCTCTGGCTGATCGCCCCCTCCCCCTTTTCCTGCATTTACAGGCAAGTGAACCGGAGCAAACGACTTCCGATCCAGTCCGCGCTGCTGCGGCTCGCGTTTGGGATTTGATTTGCAGCATCTTCGAGCCTCTACGACAAAAAACCGCGAAGCACGCCCAGCCCTCCCCCGGCACCCCGAAAAGCACCCACTCCCTCCCGGGGACACAGCTGGGCGCGTCCACACCCCCGCAGCCCCACACCATGTTGTGCGGAAGGACTTCCACTCTCCGCCTGTGTCGTTGATGTCAGACCCCAGGCCAGCCTCCGGGTGCTGCAGTTCTCCTGGCTAATGCTGAGGCTGCGGCTCCAGCTCTAGCACAGGCACCAGCCGCCGCGGCACCCGGCCCCAGCACCCACCGTCTGCATGTGCCCGCCGTAGCCGCCTGCCCAGCCCGCAGCCCGCGCTCCACGGAGCGCTGGAGACCACCGCGGGGTGGGGGGAGGGCTCCTCTGCCCTCTAGAGAAGCTGTCTTGGAGGTATTGATTTAGGTGGTTGGATTTTTTTCCGTGGATCTATCAATTCACAATTCGAATTTGGAAGAAAAAAGGAAAACATGACGTCTCCAGCCAAATTCAAAAAGGATAAGGAGATCATAGCAGAGTACGATACTCAGGTCAAAGGTAAGGGCTTTGAAAAATAGCACACTGCAAATGCTCTGTGGACTGGTGAGGCATGTATTTCCACCCTGATTTGCAGGCTGTTTATTTCTTTGGGTGGAGCAGATGGGGCAGGCTGACCCCAGAGGTGGTTTCATAGGTGGGTCTGAACCTCCACAGGATGGGCAGTGCCAGGGGCTGCTGGCACTGGAAAGGAATTTTTGGAGTGGGCTGTAGGAGTATCTTTGTGGGGCTGACCGTGATTTTGGCAGCCCTTTCCCCCAAGCTGACAGGGTCGGGGGAGGGGCAGGAGGCTCTTGGAGAGAGAAAGGCACAATTTGCCTCCGGTTCTCTGGGTCAGATTTCCTTCAAAGACAGCTGAAATCTGACAGGTGTTTGGACATTTATTTCAGGGATTGAAGAGGAGTCCAGACAGAAAGGCAACCTTGAGAAGGTGTACCGTTTGGAGACCCTTGGGAGAGATAGGGTTTTTCTGAGGCACTATATGAAAACATGAGATTTGCTATGGCATTGGACTCCAAAAGTCCATTGCTACCTTGGATTTACCTTGTACCTGTCTGGTCTCTGGTCAGCCTGCATACAATCAGAGATCAGAGAACAGAAAGAATAAGGCCACACACGCTCGGTCTCCGCCCTCACCTAAATCTGAATAGAGTTCGGAGGATGTTAAGGTTGCTGGTTGGTGCTGATTCTGGAAAATGGGAAGACATAATTGTTTAACCCTTCTGTGCTGTGGCCCTCTGCTCCAGAAGACATGCTTTTAAAGCCCCATTTTCCTCTCCGGAAAAATGTGAAGGGTAAAGCAAAATGTAGTCTTGGAGAAACCAAGTGACCTATCTCCTTATCTAGTCGACTGTCTGACTTGACTCATGAATAAGAGCCCTTACTCAGATAGTGTTTTTTAAACCAGCAATTCCCATAGGAAGGGTTCCTGCCTGTTAAAGAGCTGCAGCATGTGTTTGTGCAAGGCACTGTCCTTTCCTGGTCAGTCACTGGAAAGAGCCATGTGGCTCCAGCCCATTGAGACCTTAGCTAGGGAGTGGAAGAGGTGGGTGGCCTTGAATGTTACACCACATGGTTGGAGCTCTGGGTTTTCCTTTGTTTCAGAGTACAAGGGAGGGGCCCCTCCTTTCCCAGCACCAGTGCAAGGAGACCTTTTCCTATCAGAGAGGACTTGAGAAGGGCCATGTCTCCCCTTAAATGATTGCTGAGGGGTGGGGGTAGGGGTAGAGTTTGAAATGGGCCAGCTCCCTTATCTCTTGGGAGGTTGGAAGGTTGTCTAAAGTCCTCATTGTACCTACAGGATCTTTTTTATGTCATTAGTTTGGTCAATGCTGGAGGTGCCCTAAGGGGCCTTCTATCCACTTGGCTGCAGATATTGGTAGGTTTATTACAGAGATGGGGGAGTTGACTGATTGATAGCTTCAGTTGAACTGGGATTGAGAGAGGTGTGGTTGTGAGCTATAATTGAGGTCCTGGCCTCTTGTCACTGTTCATAATCCAGGCCTGTTTTTGTAAACAATAGGCCACTGGCCTTCGTGTCCTGCCCAGATGCATTGCAATTTGCTCTTGGAATCCCCCCTGCAGTCTTAACCAGATATGTCTTTTTTTTTTTTTTTTAAACACATCCTATTCTTAAACTGTTGCCTTCAGGAGTGTTAATAACTTTGATCTTCCCAGATTTCTCTCCAGAAGCATGCCATTTGACTAAGGTGCAAAGTGATTTTAAATGTTTATTTTTTGGAAGGTTCAAGGCTGATAGGTGTTAATAGAACTGTATCAGCCAATTTCTTATTGGCAAAGGATTTCTCAAGAGTGTCTCAAAATTAAACACTTTGGATATTTACAA